GTCAACAACGGACTCTGCAGTGGAACCTCAGCTTTTCCGAATTATTCCTGTCAATCGCTCAAACAGCGCTTCCTCAAGTAGTAGCAGCAGCAGCAGGAGTAGCAACAGTTACAGCAGAGAAAACATCTCTTCCACATCTTCCTCCAACATTAGAGTCAAAAAGGTCAATGTCTGGAAATATCGCAACTGTTCTGAGTCCAATTCGATATCTTCATTTGAGGATACGGATATCATCACAATGGATGAACCCATTCCTGGAAGGCAGCCAAGATCTCGATCGATTCAAAATGTCAGATATCCGACACGCAGCCATCAAAACAGGCCTTTGGCCCGTAGGCAGTAAATGAAGAGAACAAATTGAGGTACCGACTAAAAATGATTCATTTTCTTGGTCTCATTTTTTGTTTTGAAATCTGTGTGCCATTTTGTTGCAAAAGAAAGAGGCAAAATTATCCCTTTTTGGGATGCTGTGATGTAAAGTTGATCATGTAGGTAAGGTACCATGGAAATCGTGCTACTGATTGACTGCAAAGTAGGCGAAGCATTGACAAGGGCGTTGGCCTAAGGGTGGTCGTCGCTACTGATGGAAATAACTTAAGTGCGTTTGTAGGACTTAAATGTAAATTCTATCCACACAACCAAAATGTAAGCTAGACTATTTAAGGATTTTTACCACAATGAACAAATACCTTCTGCATGAGATAAAAAGTATTGAAAATAATACCATTAATTCTCAGTGTAAAGTTTGGCATTTGTCCCATTAAAAAAGAAGCCATTGCTGCTGTTAAGCAGTCTTTTTTTGAAGGAAGGCCTTTGGATATACTTGGGTTTGACAAGAACTTACTAAAGACTTGTAATATTAGCTTCCACCTAAACGTTATGTGCATCGCCTAAAAGTAATACTAAATGCTTCTCATGTTCAAAAAAAGTCTTCCACTTACTTGATAGCGACTCTCTTCCCAGATAGACGGTCCATCTTGAAGACAGCAGGTATTTCTTTTGTATACTGAAATGTTGTCGAATATCATGCCGGTTGAGGATGACTGCGGCTTTGCTAGTAACACACGTACTGTATTTCAACGAACGGAAATTCAACAATTAAGTTAGTATACAAAGGGACAGCTAGGTGCCATAAAACGAGTGTTGGATAGACTTTTTAAAAAATTCATTCGCAACCTCCTCCATTTGACTGCTTGCTTATTGCAAAAAACTCAGCAATCCTGTAATTAGCAACTTGCATTTGATATAATTTTAAACATGAATAATAACAAAGTAGTATATTAAAAGATTCCAAGTAAAATATAACAATGCTCTTTTTTAAGGATTTAACATTCATTTACGCTAGGGACTGCTTTTCTCTCAAGCATTACTACAATGGTGTATGCATGGTTGAACAAACTGACCGGTAATTCTTCCAGTCCTTACAGTAGTTTAAAGGAAGATTAGGTATTCGTCTTCTAATTTGTATTTCCACTAAAATGATAAAAACCCCTACAACAGAGCTTT